GCCTTCACACTAGATGGTAAATAAGATCATAGTTTATGGTCTCGTTGGTCCCTGGCCTTATTGACTTTTTAGGCTATTAAAAGACCCCTGACACGTCCTCGCCATATTAAACAGAAAACAATGTTGTAAACCAGTTGAACCCTAATAACTGCGTGACATTTCTCAAACGTCAACTGTACAACATGTGGTTAAGGCGTCTTAGGTTAAGCTGCATCTCCTAGAGACTCTTAGAGTAAAACATAATAAAGATAGACAAACGAGTGACGAACGAGACAATTTAGTATGTTGAATCAAAAGGAAAATGAAGTGGATATAATACACTACAGTGTCTTCAGGTTTTTTGTCAAACCAGTGCTTCTTTTTGTTGTTTTCATCTGCTTGTCTGTAGTTTGAATCATTATTGGTGTCTCTTGAAGATGTCATTTATTACTTCTGAGCAGCCTTACAGTCAGCAGGAGCAGGGCTGGGGCTTTTCTAGAAACTCTTTAATCTCTTCACTGTTGCCGGCCTCTTGGTGTTTGCTGGCTGTTGTTGCGGTCTCCATCTATGTCCTGCGTATGTTGAACAGCTTCTAGGTTTCTCGGTCTCTCCTCCCTGTTGCTATGGAAACAGGGCCGGCCCAGGTGGAGCCACTGGCTGGCGTCTTGTCGATCACGTGGGGGCTGAGGATGAGGAGCAGCGGAGAAAGTGATACCCCTACATGCACATTAACGGCCACTTCATGGAAACAGTCGCTCCAGCCGTGCTTCCTCCTCGGTTAACGGTTGAAAGAAAGTGACGGCGGACGTGGTGTGTACCCGGGACCGAGGGCGAGGCGGTTCACAGAGGACCCGTCCGACGTCAGCGGGTCAACTCGCAGTGAAAACGACTCTTTTAGGGAATCGTTTTTCTGGGAGGAAAATACATCTCGACTCTTCACTGTGACGGTTCTCAGCATTTTCTTGTGTCGTAGTCTTTTTCAGTTTTTTTACCCGGGGTTTGGTGGAAGGCGCCAATCCTGTATCTAGCATGGACTTGTAGCGTTGACGCCTGTGTATTTTACTCCCGGAGACGGGGCAGGCAGACGAGGAAGGAACACCGATGAAAAATGATGCTCATGGAGTTGATGAGCATCTGAATTTGAGCAACAATTTCATGTCGGAGAGAGAAGGCAGCGCGGGAGGCGGCGGAGCGTGGCGGAGGGAACAGGCCTGACACGGAGGAAACGAGTACCTCCCTCTGCTTGTCTGTTGTGAATGTTTGACTCCTCTGTTCGCGGGCGACTCACGCACCCGAAAGGACCTGGAGGACGGGACGACAGTGTGTGTTTGTGATGCTTCTGTTCCATTTCTTTTTCTGTTGTCAGTTTTGGTTTCTCCAGCAAGATCTTGCTATTCCCAGAATGGCTCGCTTTGAAGACGAACTGTCCAGTCGCTATGGAGGCAGCTGTCCCGCGGGCCCGGCCAGAGGGGGCCAGCCGGCAGCCGGGGCTCGGTCGGAGTGTGGGCCAAGAGAGTTGTGTACAACAGACGATGGCCCAGAGAGTACTCAATGCCATGGCCAGTTTACAACCCATCCCAGTCAAACAGAACCCCTCGCTCCACCTTAATCCGCTCTCTGTTCATCTTCAGCGAGGACAACAATCATACGGAAATATGCCAAAAAGATCACCGAATGGCCATATCCTTCCTGCCCAGTCTTACCCTCATACTGCTCTCACCCGAGATCACACGCGCCCGAACTTCTGCAGAAAAATGTGTCGCATAAAAGCCTTTAATTCTACATATATACGATATTCAATCACTTTAATTTATATCAGTAAAATCTAAAACTTCCACAGTGTGTCTCCTGTTGTTTCCACAGACTTAAATCCTCAGTCCGTTTCCTGTAGAATAAGATCTTATTCCAGAGAAGGTCTTCAACCATTTTCTTCTATGCATCTTAAAGTCACACCTGGATCTTGGTGTCATTCTTTTCAAGAAATAAGTTATTAGTAAAATGAGGTATGAATGTGGGTGCAGGACATGTTGCTTGGGTGTTCTTAAAGATCTTATAGTCTGCTGTTACAGGGGTTTCTTGACAAGTTGATCCCTAGTTGTTTTTAGACTCTCACTGGAATCAGAAATTTGTCTCAGTCTGATCTTAATCCAGGAAGGATTCTTGGTTGTTTGTCTGGCTAGTTGAGGGGCAGGTGGAGCCTGTCAGAACAGGCATGAATTGGGGTTCAAGGTATTAAGTACATAAAAACTTAGGGTTTTAAGTTAATTTATAGACTTTATGACATCCAGTGTGGAGGTTACGGGGTAGACGTGTCATTTGTCACTGTCATGGCTGTAGGTTCTCAAGATGGTGCTGTTCAGAAGTGCTGAACTCCAGCAAACAGCAAGCGGCCTCAGCAATCAAGGCAGGGCAGTCCTGCATGGGCTGTGACACCAACAAACAGCCATAGCTATAAAATGCAGCAGGATGCATTTCCAAATGAGTTAGCTGTTCATTTCTAATTGATTTAGCTTGCAGTGAAGGATTGTGTGAGTGTGGCTGCCACACTGTTGAGTTTAGTGTATCGACCGTACACCACAAAATAACTTCTCTCACTCTGCTGTAGATTCTGCATACTTTTTTTTTAAGGAAAAGTCAATTTAATGCCTCATTATGTTAATGAGTGTTAGAAGGTGTTGCAATTAAGTTCACATTAAGTTGTGTAATAGCCTCATTACTTAGGTCATGCTTGATTACCCCTGGTGCTGAACAAACATTATATAAGCTTTAATGTTCGCATTGCGCTTAACATGAGTCTTTATCCTGACGCAGAGCCCATATTGACAGCGCCGCACGGGATGATCTTATTGTGGCCCCAAGCAGCTGGAGTCCATGGCGCTCCCTGTTCCGAGGATGCCTCCTAACCCCCCCCCCTTTCCTCCTTCTCTCGTGGCAGAAAGCTGGACCAGTCTTGAGGGGAAGTTGGAGGTGGTGCAGGGAGTGAGATACCAAAAAAGAATTGACAAATCTGTGTGTGACTTTCTTGAAGTTGTGCTAAAGGGATGCAGGCAGAAAGGTGATGATTATTGGCAAAAGATGTTTTGTGACTTGTCTCGCTATGCAAATCAACTAAGTTAACTAGCTAATTGTAGATATACCAATTTAGAGTTCAGTCACTTGTCATGCCGAAAAATCATTGTAACTCAGTGTGCATGATGTCTTGCTGTGGTGTGGACGAGCTGTTCCAAAGTCTAGAAAATAACATAACTGCTGTGATGTATTAGCGCTTTTGTGACGTGAAAATTCAATAGCGAAACTTGCGACTGCCTTCAGTCCTCGTTCAAGTAATGCTCTGTGTCCCAATTTAGCATACCTCGATCCAAACTGTTATGCAGTCACTACGTAGAGCTGCCACAGTGTAATGTGAAACATAATGAATATCACACGAAATATGGACCAACTGCCAATATCCAAATCAATAGGAGCTCTTAATTTGTTTCTGATGAAAGTCAAATGTGTATGTTAGTGGTGTTAGAGGGGGTAGATGGACGCAGAGGGGCTCCAATCTCCGGGGTGGGGGGGGGGGGGTGGGGGGGGGGGGGGGGGGGGGAGCGGGGGGGGGGGGGGGGGGGTGGTTGGATAGCACATCTGTGTGTGGGTGTATACAGACGCCCGAACCACAATCAATTCCACGATGATAAAGACATCAGTGTAGACCAAAAGATGCATCTCATATTTTTTTTGTTTCAGTGAAAATTAAATGAAAAAATTCATTAATTCAACTGAAAATCACAATATCTGGCAAAAATAATGGCCCAATATTATTTTTTTGCCAGATTGTGCAGCGCCTACTAACTAACTATATACTAATCGTTTATTCATGACTGTTTTAGCAGGCTAGTAAGTAGACACCTGCCTACAGGACAGGTTACTGGAGTATTTGTGAACATTTCAACAGGGTGTCAGTTTGAGATTTAGGTGTGCTTAGCTGTGATTTTTTTATAATGGCAGATTTGCCAGGAAGTAAAAGAGGAAACATCTGCCCATGCGGCCAGCATGGTGCAAAGTGCACGTTTGCTGTTTTTAACATTTGGGGTGTTTGAATGGCGAGAAATGACAACAGCGTTGGGTCTGAAATAGCTTCTGGGTTGATTGGGCTTGCTTTGCTTGCCAGGTGTAAGTCGGGCATCAGGCTTTTTGTTAGATAATATACATAACAAACACCAAGCAACAGTCAGGTGTGACGTAGGTTTGTTCACAGTTATGGTTTTTGACATGGTTCAGTGGATGTTTTTTTTTTTTTGATTTGTATGCTTTTTCAGTCTGCTGATGTTTATTTATGTAGATGTTTAATGTGCTGTTTGTTTGTTATGCATTGTGCAGGCAAACTGTGAATTTCCTTTCACATGAGTTCCTTAATAGCTCATTACTCCATTTTGAGTACAGTCGTGATCGTTGGCACCATGATCGCAAACGTGCAATTGTGCTGGCTTTGGAAACAACACCTTTCCGGCACTTAGTCAAAACACCTAGGGATGTCAGAGCGTTTGGTGCGAGTAAGGCCACTGATACGTACTCCCACTTTCGTTGACTTTCTGTCACTGCGACAGCCCCCTTCCGAGTCGGTCTTATAGAGTAGAAAGAATGAAACTGACCTGATGTGCGTTATTTGGGACTTTTGGTATGAGGTGCTTTGATATTCTCTGTAAGAAGTGGCCCTTTGCGGCGTCCAAGGGTCTGGTTGTTATTTCAGCTGCGGACTCTGACTGCTGCAGATAAGTAATGAGACTATAATGCTCTGTTAATCGCAATCGTTTATCGGTATTTTCCAGAGTGTTCATAGGATTGAAAATTCAATGCTAGAATACATTCAGTGAACATAGCAAATGTGGTTTAGATAGAGAGCTGAAACTGTTGCAGCAATAGTGAAACTGTTTTATGTTGAGCGACCATTCATTTTGCAACAAACATTGCTTGAAGTATGTTATATGTTTATATATTACTTTCTGCATCAGTGATACGGAAACTTCAGCACTGTACGGTTCAGCAAAACCCTGCAGAACCTGCTTTCGATCCCCACTGATGTATATTATAATCTGTTACCCTGCTGTGCCCTACCGCGCCCAGCTCTCATGTTAATCTAACCACTCTAGCATATAAGAAGCCAGTAGTTGTGCAACACGCCTCACGTGTCCAGTCAAAGAGCCTGCGGCGGTGGCGGGGCAGAGGCCTGTTTTTAAGAATGAAATGTCACTCACTCGAGACCCCCCTGAGCTGCCCAGCTTTCATTGATCCCCTCTTGAACAGGCTCACACCCTGTCCTCGACAGACATGCCACAGAGTTCATGATGATATAAATCATGACACGCCCCAAGTAAAGTGATTAGTATTGTCCTGGCCCAGCCCATGATGAAATCTCTTTACAGCTGTTCTGTCCTGCCTACTAGCCTATCTATTATTATCACCTAGCCCAAGTAAACATTTTGAAGAACAGTCAGTATTTCTTGACTCTCGTCCAGGGAATGTGTCTCTGTGCTGGTGCTAGTGCTACAATCGCTAGTTATTTTCATTGTTGATTCATCTGCAATTTTTTTCTCCATAAATCAACTTGTAATAAATTTGCTTAAAGCAACACTCCACACATTTTGAAAAGCTTGGAACGACTTGAATTTTTGGTCTGGAGATCCAATTTATGATTATGGAAGTAAGTTTTCAATTAATTTCCTATCAATTGAATAATCAATTAAATTCTCTCTCTTTTTCTTCTTATAGGAAGATGTGCACATTCCAAGGGTGGGATAAGACAGATAAATAGAGGGGTTTGGAGACGTTGAAGGAGAGATCTCACATTGACAGAGATGCTCCAGGATTCGGCATTTTTGACACTGTTTCTTTCTTGTAAATAAACTTCTTTTTGATTGCAAGTAAAGACGTGTCAGCGGTGATCACTTCTTCACATCAGCAAAGTTAGAAAATGATCCAACCTGAAACAAAAACAGCTACAAACAATCAGGTTCCACTTTACAATAAGACAACCCTTATGAAAGATTTATAACTAGTTTATTAATTATAGCCTGTTACCACTTTATAAGGGCAATCTGATTGTGAAGTGGTGCAAACTCCTCCTGGAACCAGTGGACCTCTCTGTCAGTCTGAGTCTGAGGAGCTGCACCTGCAGGATGGACACATATGGACCAAACATGTTCAGACCTTATTTGGGCCAACGCCAGGAACTGACTTAAAAACCCAACAAATACTTGAAAAACTACAAAACATTGAACTGATATATAATCAAAACCCTCTGATTACCCCGTCACTATGAGAAGAGACATAAGACCCTGAAAAAATCATGTGGACCTGAAACTAAATGAAATGCTCAAATACAGTATAGAAAAAAATCCAATTGAATGTTCTAAAATGATTCAGTGTGATTCTGATTGTTGGGTATTTTCCTGAGAGTTGGAAGAATGGTTTCATTACACCTGTATTTAAAAGCAGTAACAAGTGAGACCCTCATGATCACAGAGAGGTGTGTGGGGTCTGCAGCATCAGCTCCTGTGTAGTTAAATTCCTCAATGACCACAACCATCACACATCTGTACACATCTGAACACATCTGTACCCTCACCACTCTCCAAATGGGAGAAACATCCAGTGGATCCTGCATGCAGAGTTGTGCCAAAATCGTTGAATCACCTCCTCGTGGTTGTCTGCCTCCTCCATTCAGACTAGTTCCAGGTTACATCCCTGTTTCTCCAGAATCATAGAAAATATTAATCATTTGTGTGAAATTTTGTCATAATTGCTGTGTGAAGTCTTGAGTAATGGCTAAAAAGTGTTTTGTGACATCACACCAGTGGCGATTGCTCTAAGACTGCAAGGGAAGCTCAGCTTCCCCTAAAATGTCAACAAAATAAGTGGTCAAATATGTGCTGTTGTGTGTACATTTCATTGACTAAATATGCGCTAGAACACGTTCATCTTTTGTTCAGAATCAGCTACTTATCACAGGTAACCGACACGACTTCCTTCTCATTCATCCCCGCAGCGCCACAGTGCTTTACACAGTGTAGACGCCGAGCGTCTACTGACTTCAGTGGGGAAGCACAGAGTGGGTTGTTCCACTGCAGCGAAACTAGACGGTCACTGGATAAATGCTGGGCTTTGTCCCGCCCATCGGACGCTCAGCGTCTCTGGGGGTCTATGGGGCAGTGGGCTGGCCCGGACGCTTGGTTTCTGCACGATGATTGGATGATCTGTCTGAGGCTGAGTCCCTTTTTGATTGACAGCGAAATGAGCGAATCAGCAATCTTGAAGTATAAGCATCCACCGGAGCATTTTTCAAGTTTTTCATTCCGTTGTTCGGAGTTGATCTGGAGACGTTACTGATCCTCAGTGACTTTGTCTTTGTTAAAAACGACTAGCGTTGTGTTTGGCGACTCTCATCTGTCACTGCGAATTTACATATAAATAAACGGACACATTTTATGATGTAGGCCGAAAATGAGCTTCCCCTCCTTATAAGACCAGCAGCCGCCACTGCATCACACTGACCTTGACCTTTAACCTTTGACCACTGAAATCTAATCAGTTCATCCTTGAGTCCCAGTGAACATTTGTGCCAAAATTTAAAGAAGTTCTGTCAGGGTGTTACTGAGATATCGTGTCCACGAGAATGAGACGGACATACGTACCTGAAAACAGGGTCAGCAGTGCTGAGACATGATAATATTAAATACTGGAACAAAACCAGTGAATCAGAGTCAGTTAGAATTCTAGTTCAGTCTTAAACAGAGATGAGGCGACATGGAGGCAGAATTACAGAGAATAAATGAGGATACTTCCTTAAGTACTCTCAAAATAAGAGCATGTTTATGGACATACCCAATATATTTTTTATTTATTACTAAATCAAAATGTAATGAAATATTGATAAAACATACATTGTATTGCAGTTGCAATACAACCTAATGTAGAGTGGTTCAATTGGATGGATTTGGGCTTCAGTCGATCGGGCAAAAAATTCCATCAGTTCTGGATCGTGTCACAAACATAAAACAGCTGCTCTGTAGTTTCTACATTTATGTGGGTCTGCCAAGGTGAAACTACAATGATACATTGTTTAAAATGTTGCTGCACCAAGGAATTGTTGGACAGCATTTCTACTTTCCTTTCCTAAAAGAAGGTCCAGTGTTTCCTATGCAGAAGGAGATAAGATAGGGAGCACTGAAGCTCCTTTCCTTATCATGTAGAGAAGTGTAGCAGCTCTGATCATGGCTGCTGCTCAGATACTTCAGCTGATTTCACTCAGTTTGAACCTTCCTGAGAAAAAAAGACATGGTTAGGTGGTTTGCTGTGGAAGAACACATCCTGACCTGAACCCCATCATCAGTGTTGGACCTCACTAATGCTTCTGTCTCTGAATGGGACCAAAGGAAGAAGCTGAGTCTCTACTTTCAATAAATAAAAACAGGACATAAAGATGCTTTAAAAATGTGTTTAATTGCTACTTAGACGTGTCGTAAAAAGTTCATAGAAGAGATCAGACTACCAAAAACATTAGTTCATTAACTCACAGATACAACAGTTTGCAGTATTAAAAAGAGTCTGTGGATGTTAAAATCATGTTAAGATTTTTTAACCTGATTGTTGGCTCTTTAAAAACTAGTCAGACCCTCTCTCACATACAGTATTTCTTCTTCTTCATATAGAAACTTGACCTCATGTATAAATAAGTCACATCCTGAGCTCTGGGATGACACATTTTAACTGTATTCATCTTTCATTTGCTGCTTTAAAATTGGGAATTCAAACGAAAACCGTAAAATCCTGCTGGTGTTCACCTGATGAAAATGTGGTGTCTGGTTGAGGAGACAGTTTCTGACATTAGAGAGGAGACAGAAACACACAGAGATCAGTGGTCATCATCAGGGACCTTCTCTCTGCAAGAGGCTGAGTGGCGGCACTTGACGGAACCACACTGGCAGCTGAAGTACTTGCTCTTTACCCTCCAGTAGTGATCACCGTAGTCAAACCTGGTGAGGAAGAGACCCCAGTCCATCAAAAGTTTTATTTTGACGTTCTCTAACGAGCAGGAAGAGGAATACCAAGCTGAGACTATGTCCACACTACTACGTTTACATTTTAAAACTGTGTTTTCAAATGAAAATGATTGCGCATACAATGAGCATGTGAAAGCCGGTGTAAAAAGGAAGAAGATTGTCTACTCTGCTGTTGATTAGTTGCAAAAAATACTACGAACAAGGAACAGCAAAGACAGCTTCAGTGTTAAAATACAGAATTTAACTCCTCAACAGCTGCTAGAAAAGACAAAAAGGTCAGTAACACTGTAGTTTACTATCTCTTTGTATTCACAACTGGTAGTCCAGGCTGATGAGAGCCAATAGGAGAGACTGTGGGTGTTTACATCATTTTTACAAAGTTTTCAAAAATAAAAGGGGCAGAGCAGTTTCCAAAAGTCTCCATTTTCGGTGCTCGAAAACTTCAGAGTCATGTCCACATAGCTAAAGAGGTGCACATAGCAAAAGAGATGAGTTTTAAAACAAAAGTTTTATAACAAGGTCGTAGTAGCGTGGACATAGTCTGACGCTGTTTCTCCAGCACTCACCCTATGTGGTCTCCAGCTTTGATGGACCGACTGGAGAAGAAGGCTATCCTGGGGAAGCGTAGGTCCTGGTGCATGGTGAACACCCTCACAGCCAGCAAGTTGGGCTCACACAGGTGGTTGATGAAGCGGCCGATGTTCCCGAAAAGTCTTGCATCAATACAGTGTACATCCTTCACCTGTATGAGATTATAACCAAGAAGAGTCACAGTCACATGTGACATCACAACCAGAAAAACAGCTTGTGAACAGTTTCCCCAGATTATCTCTAACACTTTTTAAAAGTCACACAGAGAGTGAGGCACCTGAATGGTCATTAATAATGCAACCATACTAACTATAGTGAGTACAAGAGGTCAAAGCAGAAGCAGGAAGTGGGTCTATAGACTGTGATTAGCGCCAAATCATATGAAAAAAAAAAATCATATTGCGATAATTTTCACAGACATTGTGATTGTGATACGAGTCAGGACTTCAGCTGGAGTGATCAGTTTTACATTTTCACTGAAAGAAATATAAAGATTATGATGATGTGATTTTTGTTGGGTGTGTTCACTCATGTCTGGAGAATATGATCTGTAGGTGTTTATGATATAATTCATTTATTGTCTGTTGGTGTGACACATTTTACCTTTATCAAAAAGTTGCAGCTCCTTTAATTTTGGATGTTGCACTTGGCCATATTGTGATTTTGACAATATTTTGATTGATTGTTCTGAGGCTCCGAAACATGTTCAAATGTTCAACATACCAAGGATAACTATCAGTTATCTGGTTTAACTGAACCCAACATTGACCGCCCTGATAACTTGTACTACAAAGCAGGTTATCACCTGGTTTAGTTAACTCTGGGTTTACCTGTCCAGGTACGAGCACGTTCATGTGAAAGAGGCGGAGTTGTTAATTATAAGAAACATCGTCACAACCACGAATAAAGTGTATGCATGTATGATCATGGAATTATTGAACAGTGTGTGGATCATTGTTGGTTTAGTTATTTCTCCTCATGTTGTTCTGAACTGCAGTGATGAATCATCACTGTCAGGAATCCTGTCGGATAAAATAATCTGTGTTCAGTTCAAATGAAGCTAGAATAGCTATTATGTAGTTATTTAGTGATAAACTCTCCTCTGTTTGTTAGAAGCTCAGTCAAAACCATCCACTGATCTTTACAAATATCTACTGATCTTTATTATTGATCACTTTATTGTAAAGTTTTTTGTCCCTGTCAGGATCCTGTAGGAATGATGACTCAGTTTTTCCAGTGATCTGATTGGTCAGTAGTTTGACTGTTGACAGGTTTTGATCTGATCCGGAGCATGTTAGGAGATCAGCATCAGTTACCATGGTGATTTATCCCGGTAACAAGTGAACCACTGTTGTAGGACTGAAAACCCAGAGTTAAACCTGAAGTTACCGTGATAACCTCAGATCCTGCTTCAGAGTACAGGCCTCAGGTCTAATTGTGATGGATGTGTACAACAACAGTTTGAGTCATAGTTTTATTGTCCACCTTCATTTTTATATTTCATCTTAAATCTCTTCTAGAAACAAACTTTTATTGAATAGCTTTTTCCAAATTTATTTAATTTTACATAATTTCATTAACTACTTTTGTTCTCATTGACAACTTTTTATTTTTTTTTTATTTTATAGATTTGAGATGATCGCCCTCTTGTTGGTAGCACTTCCTTTGGTCTATTTGCACTAACACTAAGACACTTTAATTGTATTTTTCTTGTTTTGATTGTTGCCTTACATGACCTGCATGTTTTATTTTGCTGCCTTGTGTAAAGCTCTTTGTAACATGGGTTTAGAAATGCGCTCTATAAATAAAGATTATTATTATTATTATTATTATTATTATTATTATTGTCCTCCACATACAGTGAGTTTGTTTCCTGACTGTCTGACTGCTCATATTTCTTGTCTTGTATTTAAGTGCAATATTATAATTACTGATTACTGAAATGAGGAAGAAATCTAGGAAAATAAACCAAATCATCCTTTAATTTCTAGTGAGTGAAACCATCTGGATCAGACTTTGTACCTACTACAGGGGTTCTCAAACTGGGCTTCCCATCGTGTTCTCCAAAGACTGAGGAGGTGATGATGTTATGTTGTTCCTACTGTCTCCAGTTCTGTTACTGGTTGACAAAATGTTCCCAGCAGCCACAGAGGAGCCTGACAGACTGTTTTAAGAGTTGTTGTGTAGACAGGGCAACAGAGTTTTTGTCTTGTAACTCCATTGTTGTTTACCTACCAGAATCAGTGATACTTTTTTCAGGCTTATGATTGGCCAACATGGCTTTATGGTTAGGGTTGTAGGTTGCCTATTGTTTTTTTTCCTTGACAGCGTATTTTGCGTTTATGCTCTGCTTCGTACATGATATTCTGATTTTGTGTGTCCTGTTAATCAGTATTTATTGTTTTTTGTTATATTTGGTATTGTTTATCAATTATCAATTATCTTCTTGTTTTTCTTTTAAAGCTCCATATAGTCTAAAAGTCTCTGTCCATGTGTAGTTTGATTATAGATCAGGTCTAGGTTCTATATTAATACAGTGAAAGTATCAAAGCCTCAGACCACAGAGAAATGCACCCAGCCGGTATTCAGAACCTGAGACTTAAACCCAGCTGTCAGGACTTCTGGAACTTTGTGATGTCACAACAAAGCAGTCACCAAGCCCCACCCACATGGATCCACGATCCAACCTTGCAGGATTTGGTTTCTCTGAAATCAGCTATATTTTTATTGGATCACTCAGAAAACAGTCAGCCAATCAGAAGAGAGGCTCAGAGCTCCAGAGAGAAGCCTGAGAGAGGAGATATAAAACTACACTGAAATGGCTTTTGGTTCTTAAAACAACAACTATATCTTCTTATAGATCAACACTTCAAAATAAAACACAGAAGA